AGCAGTAGTAGTAGTAGTAGTAGTAGTAGTAGTAGTAGTAGTAGTAGTAGTAGTAGTAGTAGTAGTAATCGTAGTAGTCGTCGTAGTCGTAGTAGTCGTAGTAGTCGTAATTGTCGTAGTAGGAAGAGGAGGAGCGGGGGAGGAGAAGGAGGAGGAGGGCGGAGGGGAGGGGGAGGGGGAGCGGGAAGGAGGAGGAGGAGAGGAAGCACATCGACGAGGTGGAAGGGAAGGCGGGGAGGAGGAAGAGAAGGAGGGGCCGATCCTGAGTTGTCATGGCACAGTCCACGCGGCCGGAGGAAAAAGGTTTAGATATAAATGGAGGAGAGGAAAAGGAGTGAGGCGGAGGAGGAGGGGTAGGAGGAGGAGTAGGAGGAGAGGAGGAGGAGGAGAGGATCGATGAGGATGGGGGTCGAGGAGGAGGAGGAGAGGGAGGAGGAGGGGAAAAGAGGATGGGAGGGAGGCGGAGGAGGAGGAGGAGGAGGAGGAGGAGGAGGAGCAGGAGAAGGAGGAAGGAAGGGAAATGATGTTGTTGTGATTGTTGATATTGTTGTCGTTGGTGGTGGTGTCTGTGTTGTTGCTGTTAGTGGTGGTGGTGTTGTTGTTGGTCGTGGTGTTGTTGGAGTTGTGGTCGTTGGTTGGTTACTGTGGTTGTCATTGTGGTGGTTGTTGTTGCGGTTCGTGTTGTTGTTGCCGCCGTTGATGTTGTCGTTGTTGATGGTGCTGTTGTTGATGATGATGTTGTTGGTGTTATTGTTGTTGCTGGTGTTGTTGTTGCTGGTGTTGTTGTTGGTGCTGTTGGTGGTGGTGGTGGTGGTGTTGTTGTTGGTGATGTTGCTGTTTTAGTGGTGATGTTGTTGCTATTGATGTTGCTGTTGATGCTGCTGGTGCTTTTGGTGACCGTGTTGGTGTTGGTGTTGGTGTTGTGTGTTGTTGCTGTTGTGTTTGTTGATGTTAGTTGTGGTGGTGGTGGTGTTGGTTTTGTTGTTGTTGCTGCTGCTGCGGTTGAACTCTCATTTCTGAACCATAATTCTTGTTGGTTCCCCACCTCCAGGGCACATTGTTTTCTCGTTCAAGCGAGGTGCCCTTCCTGGGGCCCACACCTTGTTTTTCTCAAAGGAAGTCTTGGGTCTCAGAATGGGGCCCCTGGCCCCCGAGTTTCAACAACAACGGCTCCCGCCTGATACTTCCTCACGATGTATTCCCAAATCGCGATCTCGGGCGGGATGTCCTCACAGCTTATGCAAACATCGCGCTCCCGCGTGGGGCTCCCTCGCGATTTATTCAGACGCCGCGCCCTCGACACTCAGGAATCACGCTCTCGCCTTGGCCTATAGCACGATTTACTTGGGAAATCGCGCTATCGCCCGAGACTTCTTGCGATTCGTGCAGTAATCACGCTTCGGTCAACCGCCTGCTTGAGCTGGCCTCCTGGGCCCGCCTTCCCGACCCTCCTGTCAGGGTCTACCCGCCCGATCTGCCCGTCTGGTGCTGCCACGTGTTTTCTGCTCATAGCCCCCCTCGTGCTACTCTCCTCTCTCTCGTGCTCCATCCTCCTCTCTCCCCATTGTCCCTTCCTCCCATCCGTCCGTTCTTCCTCCCTTGCCTTAGGGGTTGCACGAAGTACACGTTGCCGGTAAGAAGGAAACATACCTCAAAGGGGGTGCGACGAAGACGAAGAGGGCGGGTATGAAGGGTTTGTGATATGCGTGTTGAATGGCCCGCGAGCAGGATATAGCGAACAGTGCTACCATGATTGTTATTGCTGTTGTTGCTGCTGCTAGTGTTGTTGCTGTTGCTGTTGTTGTTGCTGCTAATGCTGTTGCTGTTGCTGCTGCTGATGTTGTTGCAGCCGAATTCTAATTTCTAAAGAATATGTTTTGTTGACTCCTTCTCAGGTAACCAGTTCGTTTGTTCAATTCACGTGTGCTTCTCCCAGGGCTCGCACCCTGTTTTTTTTGTTTCCCCGGGGAAAGCGAGATGTCACCAAACTGCGCTCCTGGCCCCCGAACTACAACAACAACGGCTCCCGCCTGATACTTCCTCACAATGTATTCCCAAGTCGCGCTCTCGCGCGGTACTTCCTCACTTTATATATACAGGAATCGCGCTCTCGCGCGGGACGTCCTCGCACTGGATTCAGACGCCGCGCCCTCCACCTCCACACTCAGGAATCACGCTCTCGCTGTGGATTCCCAGACGAACTATTTTGGAATCGCGCTATCGCTCGAAACTTCGCGATTCACACAGGACGCGCGCTTCAGCAACCCGCCTGCTTGAGCTGGCCTCCTGGGCCCGCCTTCCCGACCCGCCAGTTAGGGTCTACCCGCCCGGTCTGCCCGTCTGGTTCTGCGACATGTGTTCCGCTTCTAGCCCCCCTCCTGCTACTCTCTCTCTTCCTTGTCCCTTCTTTCCATCTGTCCTTTCCTCCTCAGCCTTAGAGGCTGCACGAAATACACGGTGCATTTAAGAAAGATATATAATCCCAAGGGGGTACGATCGAGGACGAAGAGGGCGGGCGTGAAGGGTTTGTGATACACGTGTTGAATGGCCCGCGAGCAGATAAGAGCGAACAGTCTTCCCATGATTATTGTTGTCGTAGTTGTTGATGTTGATGGTTACGAGAATGGGAATGGCGATGATGATAAGACGACGATAATGTTGGTGATCGTTATGCTGTTGATGACGATGATGCTTATGATGATGATGCTTATGACAATGACCATTGCTGTGGTCATGCTCATGATGGTGATGGTGATGATGATGGTGGTGATGATGATGACGATAATGCTGATGCTGACGATGATGATGCTGATGATGGTGGTGATGATGATACTGATGATGGTGATGATGATTTTAACGACGAGGATGGTGATAACAATGATTATCTTGATGTTGTTGTTGATGATGCTGATGATGATGAGGAGGAGGAGGGGGAGGAGGAGGAGGAGGAGGAGGAGGAGGAGGAGGAGGAGGAGGAGGAGGAGGAGGAGGAGGAGGGGAGGGGGAGGGGGAGGAGGAGGAGGAGGAGGAGGAGGAGGAGGAGGAGGAGGAGGAGGAGGAGGGAGGAGGAGGGAGGGAGGAGGAGGAGGAGGAGGAGGAGGAGGAGGAGGAGGAGGAGGAGGAGGAGGAGGAGGAGGAGGAGAGGAGGAGGGGAGGAGGAGGAGGAGGAGGAGGAGGAGGAGGAGGAGGAGGAGGAGGAGGAGGAGGAGGAGGAGGAGGAGGAGGAGGAGGAGGAGGAGGAGGGAGGAGGAGGAGGAGGGAGGAGGAGGAGGAGGAGGGGAGGAGAGGGAGGGAGGGAGGGAGGGAGGGAGGGAGGGAGGAGGGAGGGAGGGAGGGAGGGAGGAGGAGGAGGAGGAGGAGGGCGGAGGAGGAGGAGGAGGAGGAGGAGGAGGAGGAGGAGGAGGAGGAGGAGGAGGAGGGGAGGGAGAGGAGGAGGAGAAGGAGGAGGAGGAGGAGGAGGACGGGGTGGAGGAGGAGGATCAGGAGGAGGAGGAGGAGGAGGAGGAGTACAAGGAGGAGGACGAGGCGGAGGAGGAGAAGGAGAAGGAGGAGGAGGAGCAGGAGGAGGGGGGAGGGAGAGGGAGGAGGAGGAGGAGGAGGAGGAGGAGGAGGAGGAGGAGGAGGAGGAGGAGGAGGAGGGGGTGGAGGAGGAGTAGGAGGAGGAGGAGGAGTAAAAGGAGGAGGACGAGGCGGAGGAGGAGAAGGAGGAGGAGGAGGAGGAGGAGGAGGAGGAGGAGGAGGAGGGCGCCCTGACTTAGGATCCGCCGCAATTTCGTGCGATTTCGAAAGTAGGGCGGAATTCCCGCCCTGCTTTTCAAGCTCATTTGTTGTCGATTCCGCCCTGCTTCGCCGTCGCTATTTCCGCCATACCCTGGTGGAAATGTCCGCCCCGGCGGGTTTCTCTTCGATTTCGGCCCAGGCGCTGATGGCTCTCCCACCCACGCCTCCGACGCATTGAAAACTGCATGCGGACGTGTTTCGCCGTTTTCGGCCTGTCCTGCAGGGGCCGCCGCCTGGCCCCGGGACCGCCCACAACCGATCCAGGAAGCAAACGGGGCCCTGGGGGAATGGTGGGGATTTCCAGGGTCCCGCACTGAAAAATCGAGACGTCGGATCTTTGTGAAGGTCATGACCGGTCAGAATGAGGTTTCGCCGGAGCGACCTCCCCTACGGTCCGGGCACCGCACTTCTTCCACGCGGGGCGTTTTCGCCCGGCTTCGGGCCCCATGGCCATCACAGATCGATCCGTTGCGGGACATGCCGCAGGACGACGGGGTCTGGGGCGCTGGTCGTGTCTGTTTCTGGTGCGGCGTCCCGATGTTGCCGCAACGTCGGATCTCAGGGCTCTGACTGGGGGCCCACAGGGGTCCCACCCCAGAGTTCGCCTTGGCGGGGCTCGCGCTCGCACCTGCGTGCCCGGGGGTCGGCCTCCCCCCCGCCGCACGTTCTCCCAGGAGCGCGCGTGCCAGAGGTTCACTCTGGCCTCTCTCGAGCCACTCTGCGGGCGGCACTGGAGGCCTGGAGATGGGCACCGACACAGGGATCGCTTCGATTCCTCCGATTCGATGCGATTCGGCTTCGATTGATTCCGATTCCGATTCGATCCGACTCCGGATTCCGATTCGGATGCCGATTTGTCAATGAGAGCTTATTACTCTGCCGATTTCCGCCGATTCGACTCCTCTCGACTTCTCTGTCGATTTCCGCAGTTCTGATCAATTTCGATCGCTGGTTCGAATTATCGATTCGATTCTGGGCTCTCCTGTCAACGCCAACACGCGGGCCTGCCTCAATCGGGGGAAGATGATCCTCGAATGCACTGTTGGTGGGAATGCTTCGGCCACCTGGGAGGCCAAAGTGTTACCACCACCACCACCACCAAGGTCGGGAGCCCCTTCCCTGGGTGGAGGCACACCGCCGATTTCGCTGTGGGTGTCAACCTCGAGGCCTCCCACGGCAAGCCGGGGGGGGGGGCAGGGGAGAGACCGAGAGCCAGGAGAGGCAGAGGCGCGGGGGGGGGGCAAGGAGCGCGAGGGGGGCAAGACAGCGAGAGGGCCTCCGCGCTCTTGGCGGTGCTTAGAGTGACGTTCCCGGCCTGTCCGGCGGTCGTCCGTCTGGCGTCGTGGAGCCAGTGCAAGCAGTGGGGAAGCGCCCTAGCTCGCCTATAGGCCTGCCAGGGAATGTTCTGAGAACCTTTTGTGGCTTGCACGATATGTCTTGGAACATTTCTGGCTGAGACTGTTTTGTTTTAACACATCGGGTTGATGTTCTAAGAACATTGTTTTTGTTCTGAGAACGTGTTCGGGTTCTAAGAACATTTCTTAGAACGTTTTCGGGGTTCTAAGAACATTTCGTGGTAGGACTATAGGACTGCCGGGACGGTCGGTCCCTGCTCAAGCCAGTTGTGCGTCGGACCGATGTCCGATGTGTGAATGGGGAGAAAATTATGCCTGGGGTCATTCTTGCGCGTGGCCGACGAGGGGGTGTGGGGTGCGGGGGACGGCCCTCGGAGAAGGCAAGCGAAGTGGGCTGCTCAGAGGGGCCCAAGAGCTTGCGAGAAGGGCTTTTTCTACAAGGAAAGGGGAGGTGGGCGTCTGAGGATGTTGAAAAAGGGGATGCAAAAGGGCGGATGTTCGATAAGGAGGTGCAAAAGGAGGCTCGTCGAGAGACGGATGTAAAAAGGATGCTCGAAGAGGAGGTGCACAAGGAGCTTCTGGAGCGGGTGACATGCGCGAAGGCCCCAGAGGACCAGCGGCCTTCAAAACGGAGGCCCGACTTCCGTTCAGCAGGCTCCTCATCTTCACTCTGGGAGCTGCTCTTCAGATTTGCTGCCTCCCCCCCCCTGCTGCCCAGTACCATATGGATGTTTGACCTCCACGGTGGCCGACAGTCACCGAGCGCGTTCCACTACTCGCAAAGTGCCTGCCCGCAAGCGTCCGAAGAGCGCACCTGTCTGCATCGATGTAATGTATCGTAAATTCCACATGGCGGATCCAGGCCATGTGCGAGCAGTTACTATGCGAGTAGTGGAGCGCGACTGTCTAGAAACGCATCCCGAGGCTCGGAACCGCCAGGACGCGGCGAAACCACCCGAAGCCCTCGAACTTCGAACCCCCTGAGCCTGAGCCCAGCCCCCCCTGACATTTTGCCCCTGAGTTGTTCCGACGCTGCCACGAAAGATCAGGACTGGAGCCCCAGACCCCATCTGACTGCGGCATTTTTCGAGCCGGATCGATCTGTGAGGTTCTCCCGGGCCCGAAACCGGGCGAGCAATACGTGTGCCTAACTCCAGATCCGCTGCATTTCGGCTTATTCCAGGGAAGGCAGGGCGGATATCAATTTCCGCAAGTGCACGGCGGAAACGGCGACGGCAGAGCACGCCGGAAGTCTGCATCAGAGGCGCTGGCACGGCAGGGCGGATGCCGCAGCCCTGCTGAGTTGCGCGCTCGCCCCCACGCGCGGCGGAGCTGGAGGCCGGGAGAGGCCTCGAGCCTCGAGCCCCCCCCCGGCCGCCGGAGGCGAGCGGCCTGGCGGGCGAGGAGCAGTTCGTGGAGCTCGCGCGGGCGGTCGAGCGCGAGAGCGCGCGGGCCACGGCGATACAGAGCGCCCTGCGCGGCCTGGCGGGTCGGCGGCGCGCGGGCAGGGCGCAGAGCGCGAGCGAGGAGGCCCTCGGGGGGGGGCGAGAGGGCCAAGAGTTCTTCGGCGCGTGAGGGTTGCCCTTCACCAGAGTGGTGTGTGTGTGTGTTGTGTGTTGTGTATTGTGTGTTGTGTGTTGTGTGTGTTGTGTGTGTGTGTTGTGTTGTGTGTGTTGTGTGTGTTGTGTGTGTTGTGTGTCGTGTGTCGTGTGTCGTGTGTGTGTATGTTCGAGGAAAAAACGGCGGCACAAACATCAGCTTTCGGAGTTCCCCGCGGAGTTCTTGGATCGGCGCTGGAGCCCCTCCGTGCGCCGGGGAGGCGGTCGGTTTGGCGCAGGTCCAGGAAATCCGCGCGGACCTCCAGAAGGTTATGCTTATGCAGTTGTCTCACCTTCTATTGAAGTGGACCCACAGGGGTCCTCCCAGGACAGGCTTGCGCGCTGCGCACTTGGATTCGGCCCCGTCACGGCCGCTGAAGCGCGCACCAAGGTTCTCTCTTGCCCAGGGTCACTCTTGCCTGAAGTAGAACGGTGCACCTGGCGCACGGGCTTGGCGTGGGCCTGGGATCAGCCCTGAGATTTGAGCGTGCCAAATTTTTGTCGCACCGCGCGTTTTTTCGGTTGGTTTCGGGCCCCAGGACGATCACAGTCGATCGAGCCCGGAAAATGCCACAGAAAAATGGGGTCCAGGTTTCCATTCGGTCGCGACGTCGGATCTCAGGGAGCGCACGTGCCTCTGCGGGCTGCCCTGGCATGTCCGTGGTGAAACGCAGCACGCATTTCTGTGCTCAGAACGTGCGGGGTAAGCGCGCTGCGTGGTGATTCAGCACGTGAGCGACAGAAGAAAATGGGGTCGACTGTGCGGGCATTCGCGCGTAAGCTTCCCGCGTAAGGTCGCGCGTGAGCCCCCCCTCTTTCCCACGCGGTATGCCACGCCGGCGGCGTGCCGAAGCCGCGGCGTAAGATCGCTACGTCCTCACGAGTGAAGCCCATTACGCGCTGGTCGTTCGAAGTAGGTATTTCGGGGTGTCCAGATCCCAATCTACTTCAAGCGCCTTCCTACGTCAAGAATCGATACGCTTTTGCTAAGTTTTGCTGGTCTCTGGGAGGGCCTGACCCCAATCTACTCAGTCCCCCTTCCTTTTCATTAACTTTACGTACTTCTTCCGACCGACATGCCATTTTCGTCACCCGCGTGTTGGTCTTCTTTGTGGCGGGCGTGTCATCTCGTTGGGCCTGCGTGCTCCGGCTGCGTGTTGAGCTCCGTGCCACCACGCTCTGGGCTGCGTGCTGCGCAGCAGGGCAGCCAAGAGTGCGGGGGGTGAAGGTTCCTTGGCGCGCGCGCGGGGCGCGCCCACCCCGTCGCCGTTGTTGCGCATGGAATGGCATGGAATCAATCAGAGGGGGAAAAGGCACCCATACCTCTACCCTTCCCTCGTTCTCCCCTTCTTGGGCCTCCTGGGAGGCCCTCGTCGACAGCGCTGGATTCGTTTTGAAGTTTTGGTTTGCATGTACCCCAGGAGAAGCCCTGGGGAGCAGCGGCATCGGCACCTCGTCCTCATGGCTTCCCCCACTGGAGTGGAGGGACAGCAGCCGGCGGGGGCGTTGGTGAAGGAATGCGCCCAGGAGGCCTCTGACCCTTAGAGGAGCCCTGCTCTGCTGAGGGCGGCGGTGACATCCGTGGCCGGAGGACGGGCCCGCGGAGCGCCGCAGGGCGGCGAGGTGCCGCCCCCCTCGAGGCTCCCCCCCCCCCAAAAAAAAGGCGGGCACCGGGCGAGCCGCTGCAGGCCCCGAGGTGGTCGGCCTCATGCCGGTTCCGCTCGGACAGGGAAGTCTGGAGGCAGGAAAGGGGCATGGTGTGAAGGGGGGTGTGGTGCTGATTCTATGTGAAGAGGAGTATGGCGATGTGATTCATCGCAGATAGCATCGCCATTTCCACGATTGGCACCATACCCCTCTATGCCACAACCCTTTTCCGACTTCCAAAGAATGGAGCTCCGCCGGCTTCAAGACCCTGGGCTCCTTGTCAAACGGTTCCTTACACCCAGTGCCCCCGCCGTAATCTGTACGCCGGGCTGGACTTGAACGCTGTTCTGCTGGACTTCAGCCGTGCTTTGTGTTTCGCTCTGGCAGGGAAGCATAGGAAAACAGGTAGAGCAAAACGAACAACGAAGCGAAAACGAAACGAGTAATAAAGTTTAGGTCCAGCCCTGAAACGCCGGCCCCATGCCCAGGCTGGGCCCATAGGCAGTACCGCTGTTGCAGTTGCGCGGCCGGCGCCCTCCGGAGAGGTGGCGGATCGGATACCGGAGGCGCCCGTGCTGGCGCCTTTCAACCCCACGCCGGACTGCGCCGTGGCGCAGGCGCTGGAGCGACGTCGCCGACGTCGACGACGACGACGAAGACGACGGCGGCGACGACGACGGCTGCGGCGGCGGCGGCGGCGACGACGACTACGGCGGCGGGGTGTCTTGTACAAGAATCGCAGGCGCTGGACGCTCTCGCAGCTGGGCCAGGGGACGTCGTCTTCGACCTGGGCTGCGGTGACGGCAGGCTGCTGCTGGCGGCCGCGCGGCGCGGCGCGACAGGCGGCCGGGGGCGGCGCACGCACCCAGAGGATCGAAGGCCTCCACGGGAGGTCGATCCCCCCCCTCCCGGAGGAACAGAGAGAGCCTCCGCGAGGGAGGCCGTGCCTCCGTTTTGGAGGTCGTCGTTCTTTTGGACACATCGAAGAAAAAACATAAACATACCTCTGGCGCTCCGCGCGGATTTCTTGGATCCGCGTTGGGCCCCCTGGCGGCGCCTCCGGCGCCGCCCCTGGCGCTCTCCGCGCGCCAGGGAGGGGGCACTACGCCCAGCATGTCAGCGGGCAGTACGACCAAAATCAGCACTACGGGTGTGACGAGCGCAACCGATACCAGCAGCACTACTACACCTAGCATGTCGGCGAGCAGTACGACCGAGAGCATTACCACAGATGTGACGAGCGCGACTGGTGCCGGCAGCACCACGACGCCCAGCACATCGGCGAGCGGTTCGACTGAAAACAGCACCACGAGTGTGGCGAGCGCGGCCAGTACCAGCAGCACCACCACGCCCAGCACGTCAGCGAACAGAGCGACCGAGAGCAGCACCACAAGTATGATGAGCACGACCGGCACCAGCAGCACCACTACGCCCAGCACGTCGGCGAGCAGTACGACCGAGAGCAGCACCACCAACGTCACGAGCGCGACCGCTACCAGCAGTACCACTGCGCCCAGCACGTCGGCGAGGAGTACGACCGAGAGCGGCACCACGGATATGGCGAGCGCGACCGATGCCAGCAGCACCACTACGCCCAGCAGGTCGGCGAGCAGTACGACCGGGAGCAGCACCGCGGGTGGGACGAGCGCGACCGGTGCCAACAACACCGCTACACCCAGCACAGCGGCGAGCAGTACGACCGAGAGCAACCCCACGAGTGTGGCAAGCACGACTGGCACCAGCAGCACCACTACGCCCAGCACGTCGGAGAGTACGACCGAAAGCAGCACCACGAGTATGACAAGTACGACCGGTACCAGCGACACCATTACGCTCATCACGTCGGGGAGCAGTACGACCGAGAGCAGCTCCACGAGTATGGCGAGCGCGAACTCTACCAGCAGCACCACTACGCCCAGCACGTCGGCGAGCGGTACCACCGAGAGCAGCACCACAGGTGCGACGAGCGCGATCGCAGCAGCAGCACCACTACGCCCTGCGCGTCGGCGAGCAATACGACCGAGAGCAACAGCACGGGTGTGGCGAGCACGACCGGTACCAGCAGCACCACTACGCCCAGCACGTCTGAGAACAGTACGACCGAGAGCAGCCCCACGAGTGTGACGAGCGCAGCCGGTATCAGCAGCACCAAGCCCAGCACATCAGAGAATTGTACGTCCGAGAGCAGCACCACGCGTATGACGAGTATGACCGCCACCATCAGCACCACTACGCCTAGCACGTCGGCGAGCAGTACGACCGAGAGCAAAGCCACCAGTGTAATAAGCACGGTTGGTACCAGCGGCATCACCACCCCCAGCACGCCGACGAGCAGTACGACCGAAAGCAGCACTACGAGTGTGACGAGCATGACCGGTACTTGCAGCACCACCAGCACGTCGGCGAGCAATACGACCGAGAGCAGCACCACCAATGTGACGAGCGCGGCCAGCACCCGCAGTACCACTACGCCCAGCACGTCGGCGAGCGGTACGACCGAGAGCAGGGTCACTAGAGTGACGAGCAGGACCAATACCAGCAGCACTAGTACGCCCAGCACGTCGGATAGCAGTACGATCGAGAGCAGCACCACGAGTATGACAAGCACGACCGGTACCAGTGGCACAACTACGCCCAGCACGTCGGCGAGCAATACGACCGTGAGTAGCACCACGAGTGGGACGAGCACGACCCGCACCAGCAACACCATTACGCCCAGCACGTCGGCGACCAGTACAACCGAGAGCAGCACCACGTGTGTTACGAGCATGGCATGCACCCGCGTCATCACTATGCCCAGCACGTCGGCGAGCGGTGCGACCGAAAGCAGCACCTCGAGTGTGACGAGCGCGACCCGTACATGCAGCGGCACTACGCCCAGCAAGTCGGCGAGTAGTACGACAGAGCGCCGCACCACGAGTGTGACGAACTCGACCGATACCAGCAGCACCGTTACGCCCAGCACGTCAGATAGCAGTACGTCCGAGAGCAGCACCACGAGGGTGACGATCACGACCGGTACCAACAGCGCCACTACGCACAGCATGTCGGTGAACAGTACGACCGAGAGCAGCGCCACGGGTCTGACGAGCACGACCAGTACCAGCAGCACTGTTACGCCCAGCGCGTTGGCGAACATTACGACCGAGAGCAGCACCACGAGTGTGACGAGCACGACCGGGACCAGCAGCTCCTTTACGCCCAGCACGTCGGCGAGCGGTACGACCGAGAGCAGCACCACGAGTTCGACGAACACAACCGGTACCAGCAGCACCACTATGCTCAGCATGTCGGCAAGCAGTACGACCGAGAGCAGCACCACGAGTTGGACGAGCACGAACTGTTCCAGCAACACCACGAATATGACGAGCACGACCGGTACCAGCAGCACCCCTACGTCCAGCACGACGGCGAGCAGTACGACCGAGACCAGCACCAGCACCATGAGTGTGACGAGCACGACTGGTACCAGCAGCAGCGCGTCGGCGAGCGGTACGACCGGAAGCAGCACCATGAGTGTGACGAGCACGACCGGTACCAGCAGCGCCATTGCGCCCAGCACGTGGGCGAGCAGTAAGACCGAGTGCAGCACCACGAGTGTGACGAGCACGATCCGCACAAGCAGCAACACTGCGTCCAGCTCGTCGGCGAGCAGCACGAGCAGCCTGCGACCGCGAAACACCCTGGACAAGCAGACCTTCGGCATCATGGCGGCCTGATTCCTCCTCTCTCCCCAGTCTCACAGGCAGTTGCGACCGTTAGTCGCCCTGATTCCGCTCCCGTCCCACCTGATCCCGCAGGGTGTCCCTGATCCCGCAGGGTCTCTCCCCTGATACCCTGATTCCACGTAATGGGACCGTTTGTCCCCCCTGATCCCGCAGGGTCTCCTTGCTCACCTGGTGATGGGACCGTTTGCCCCCCGTGATCCCGCAGGGTCTCCCTGCTCCACTCGGCCACGCGCTGCTGCTGGTGCGGGGCTGCTCTGGCGACCGCTGGCTCGCTGGGCCGGCATTTCTTCTTCCTGCCCGCTTCTCCCCCCCCGCTCGCTACCCCCCCCCCCATGGCGGCAGCGCCCGGCACTGCGCGATTCTGGCCCGGTGCCTGGCGCTTGCACCTTGCCGCCTCGGCGGCCCCGCGGGTCCTAGCGCTGCGCGGCTTAGGCCCGGCCCTTGACACTGCGGAACGGCAGCGCAGCGTGTGTGGCTCCTGCCCGTTCCCACGCGCTTGCCACTGCGGGGCAGGCATCCTCCCTGCAGCACACGGGCATCCTGTCGGTTATGGGCGGCAAGTTACCGGCTTCGCCTGGCCACCGCGCCTCAGACTGGCGGCTGCTTTCCCATGTTAGTGGATTCGACTACCACGGCCTGGACCTCTTCGGTAACATATTTGGTGGCACAACTTTGCACTCCAACCCAGCGGTGCTACTCTTTCTCTCGGGCTTCGTCCTGGTGGCGTGGCACGTCCTCCCCCGCAGTTGATGAAACTGGTGTTCTCGAAGCGCCGCTGACGGCACCACCACCACCGACTTATCGCCTCCCGGGACTTCGCCACCGGGCTCCTGTCCAAGGTGTTTTTTTTCCTGCACTTCAATTTCGGCACCGCCTGATTCCAGGGCTTCGCCGTCTCTCGGCCTTGACGTGAGGCCCCGCCTTTTCTTCCCCTCCCTCTCTAATTAATATTGTGCGCGGCCTGCGTAGCATCTATCGGAAGAGGTTCGCTCTCGCCCCGCATATCAAAAAATGTGTGTGTATCTGTGTAGTTATGCGCACGTGTCCTCTTAGCGACCAGACCGTCTCTGGCCGTGAACGCCGGCCTTTCGCGCGCATCCCGCGCGCGGCCTCGGGATGCTCGCGAGGAGGAGGAGGAGGAGGAGGAGGAGGAGGAGGAGGAGGAGGAGGAGGAGGAAGAGGAGGAGGAGGAGGAGGGAGGAGGTGTGTGTGCCCGCCTCTTGGCTCGCGTTTCCCATCCCCCCTCGCCCTCGCTGCGAGTGGCGCGGCCGACCCCCTGTGGGTGGCTCCAGAATCTCCACGCCGCGTCCTCTCCAAATTCGGTGCGTACGGCGCCCAGCAATTGGCATGTACTCCTGGCCGGGGGAACCCTCGACGCAATGCTGCATTTTGTTTTTCCCCAAATCCAAAGTGGGGTTCTTGTTTTCTCTGGACACCCCGCGCAGGAACAGGAACACACACACACCCACTCACACTCACTCACACTCTCTCATCATCAACCTCATCAGCATCATCGATGATGTTCTCTCACATGCTTAGTCACTCACATACTCATCATCATCATCACTCGCACTCTCTCACACGCTCACGAACATCATCATCATCATCATCATCATCATCGGCATCGGCATCATCCTCATTCAAACATCATCATCGCCACCACCACTCACAATCAATCATCATCCTCTTCACCACTCATCTTCACCACCACTCATCATCCTCATCCTCATCATCGTTGGGTGAATTGTCAGGAAGTCTCAGGCAGGAGCCCCCTCCCTATGGGGCCCGCAGGTCACGTTGGTAATCCGAGCGGGTCATCGGGATCCTGTAACTGTCGTCACTTTTGAGCTCCCCAGGCCTGAAAATGGAGGAAGTCTCAGGCGGGAGCCTCGTTTGTGAGTGAATTGTGAGGAAGTCTCAGGCGGGAGCCCCCTCCCTATGGGGCCCGCAGATCATGTTGGTAATCCGAGCGGGTCATCGGAATCCTGTAACTGTCGTCACTTTTGAGCTCCCCAGGCTTGAAAATGGAGGAAGTCTCAGGCGGGAGCCTCGTCTGTGAGTGAATTGGGAGGAAGTCTCAGGCGGGAGCTCCCTCCCTATGGGGCCCGCAGATCATGTTGGTAATCCGAGCGGGTCATCGGAACCTGTAACTGTCGTCACTTTTGGGCTCCTCAAGCCTGAATTTGGAGGAAGTCTCAGGCGGGAGCCTCGTCTGTGAGTGAATTCTGAGGAAGGCTCAGGCGGGAGCCCCCTCCCTATGGGGCCCGCAGATCATGTTGGTAATCCGAGCGGGTCATCGGAACCCTGTAACTGTCGTCACTTTTGGGCTCGTCAAGCCTGAATTTGGAGGAAGTCTCAGGCGGGAGCCTCGTCTGTGAGTGAATTGTGAGGAAGTCTCAGGCGGGAGCCCCCTCCCTATGGGGCCCGCAGATCATGTTGGTAATCCGAGCGGGTCATCCAAAACCTGTAACTGTCGTCAATTTTGGGTTCTCGCGCTGCCAGAACGCAGCTCCCAGGCCACATTTTGGATGCAACAAGGAAGTTTTTGGGCTCCTCAGGTCGCCGAGGTGCTGCGACAGGGCGCCGAAGGCGCCGACGACGACGGCCAGGCCGAGGCGCGGGCGCGGAGCTTGCTGATGTTCAGGCCCAGCGAAAGGGAGTTCACATGGCAGAGCTCGGGGGCGCACAGCGTGCGCCGCTCGGGGTTCACCCTGACGCACGCGTCCTACCTGACCTCCACGCTGTCGCAGGGCCAGACGCTGCGCAAGGGCGTCACCATCGACTGCGCGAGAGACGAGGACGCTGGCCGCACGGGCATGTCGGACGAGCAGTGGTGGCTGCACCTCTACGTCATGTTCTCCCGCGCCACGTGCATGCGGAACATGCTGATCCTGCGGCCGCCGCCGCGAGAGTTCCTGGAGTGCGGGCCGCCGGCGTCCCTGCGGAAGGCGCTCCTGGAGTTCGACAAGAGAGCGGTTTTGTCCAGGGCGGAGGCGAAGCAGCTCGCGGCAGAGCTGGGCTTCGTGCTGCCTTCCGCCTGAGCGCGGCTGCGCCTCGCTCGAAGCCCGCGGGGTTGTCCCAACGGCTTGGTCTTGCGCGCCAACGGCTCGCGGGGTTGTCCCGACAGCCTGGCCCGCGGGGTTGTCCCAACGGCTGCGCGACGTGACCAGTAGAGAACGCGCCTGTGCTGGCCGTGGCGGCGACGGCGCCGAGGAACATCGACATGCGCGCTCATGCAACAGGAAGGGGAGGAGGTGGCGGGGCGCGGAACAAACAGGGGGGCGAGGATGGGGACAACGTAAGGAGTGGAAGGGGGGCCCGCGCCAAGGCGAGAGGAAATATACGCAGAAGAGACAGCCAGGACGCCTCACCAACCACGAGGACGACGGCGATGGCTTTTTCCAGATTCGCCCAGAGGATTCTTATGTGGGGTTCTTCCGTCGGAGTAATGCAATGTATCAGCGCTCTCTCTTCTGGTCGCCGCGCCCCCCTGTGTTGTTCAGACGTCACCGGCGCCTTCGATCGAGGGAGCACCTCCCGATGGGGAGGATATGTTCGACTATTGTTGGCTGCTTTTGCATATTTGTTCTGACAATTCCTTTGCACGGTTCCTTCACGAGCCGCCGGGAGGAGGACGTGCCCGACTGATCGCCGGTGGGGAGGCGCCGGGGCCCAAAGGGCTCCCCCTGGGGGACGCGGGGGCCGTCGGGCCCTTTGGGCGAAGAGCCCCCGCTCCCCGGGACGGCCTCCGGAGCGGGGTGCCCTTGCCCCGGGGCCCAGGGATCCAACGCACTGAGGAAATCAAGACGGAGGTTTTTCGCACCTTTCGGCCTCCAGGGGCTGGGCCCCGGGACCGTCAAGAAAAGATTCAGGATGAGAAACCGGTTTTGGGGAAGCGGTCGAGACTTCCGGGGACCCTGTGTTGAACAAAATCACGACATCGGATTTCTGGGGGGGGGAGCCTCGCCCGCCGGGTGTCCCCCGTGGGAGTCGTGGCCGTGGGTGATGCTGTCCCAGCCTATTTCTTGGCCTTGATTACCAGAAGCGATCTCGAGCACCAGGAAACTACTGGAACTTTTGAGGGTTTTCACTTGTCGGGCCTTGGGAGGCGATGCTCTTTCGACACTGTGTCGATACTTGTTCTGGGTGCTCGTAATTGTTTCTGGGATGTGGTCCTGAAGTACGAGGGGAGCAACACAAGCCGTGGGATTTCTCTCCCGCCCTCGTCGTGTCGTCGCCGTCGCTGTCGTCATGTCGTCGCCGTCGCTGTCGTGCTGGTCGTGTGTCATCCCCCGTTCCGCCTGAGCGCCTCGTCTGCCAGCCCAGCTGTGTGTGGGGCACCGAGTTCTTGGGTACCCAAGGTGGAGCTTGGTGCCTCACGGTGTCGACGTCGAAGGCTGAGCTTAAGTCGGGCCTGTCACTTTACAGGAGGAAGACTCAAACATAGTTTGTTTGTTTTTTCTACAAAAAAAGGTAAGGGGACGATTTGTTTACTATTTCTGACGCTTCGGCCGGATTTTTTGGGCTATTTTTACATTTGTCGTCCGACATCCGCCTGCAGGGGGACGTGCCCGACCTCAGGCCGAGCGTATCGCACTATGTCCACGCCGCGTCACCTGGGCTGGCCCGCGCGCGTCGCGCTCCCGCTCGACCTTCACCGCGCGTTTGCGCCGCTGCGCATGCGGCCGCGACGCCAACAAAAGACGTGCGCACCGACCTCCCGATGCGGCCGGCGCCCTGCCAGGCGTGGGCGTAGAGTACGACCGCCGCTTCGTCGACCGCGCGCGCGGCGCGCTGGCCAGCGCGGGCCTCGCGGAGGCGGTGCGGGTGATCCACGCGGACGCCTGCAGCGTGGACTGCAGAGGGGGGGGCCCTGAAGTCCTGGCGCTGCGATTTTTCTGCAAGGGGCGTTTTCGCTCGATTTCGGGCCCCCCCAGGGCCCTCACAGATCGATCCAGCTCGATGACGCAGAAAACATGGTGTCCGGGGGTCCGGGCGTGATTTTTGCTAGTTGCAATTTTTTGGCAACGTCAGATCTCAGGGAATACATACTGCTGGAGCCCGTTTGCTTGCTCCCTGGCGATAATGGGCGTGACCAGGGGGCTAAGGGGGGGGGGAGGGGGCAGCTTAGGGGGCCAGTCACGTCGCGATTCGCGCCGGCGCCGTCTGGGAATTTCTAGGAGTGGCTCATTCCCAGACGGCGCTGGCGCGAATCGTGACGTGACCCAGGGGAGGGGGCAGGGCCGGCCACGTGCGTTATTGCAGAGGGTAAGAGCCGGGCTGTGCCGTGGCTCCTCCTGGAGGGTTCCCGCGGACACGGTCGGATTCTCCTCGGGCTTCCGGGCAGAGGGCGCCCTGGGAGAGGTGCGGGGAGCAGTGCGGTAGGGGCACCCTGTTCCGCCACAGACAGATAACTACACGGACACCCTCCAATGGATTGTTCCTGGGCCTCAGGGGAGGGTGGCGGTGTACAAATCACCACTGGGAGCCAGCGACTGTCATACACCGCCGCCTTCCCTGAAGGTATATGCAAAGTTCGTCGGAGGGTGTCTGTGTATATATTTTCGTGACGTACCATCGGGCGGGCTGTAATCGGGGGCGACCCAAAGGAGGGGTGAAACAGAACTGCCCTCAAGGGTCTCTTGAGGGCCCCTGTTGGGCACCAGCTGGCTACAGAAGGGGCCCGAAAGGGCCCCCTTTAGGCCTTTTTCTGCACCCCTCCTTTGGGTCACCCCCCATTGCCACCCGCCCGAAGTGCGGCAGCGGCACCCTCCCCAGACATCCGGCTGCTCCAATTTTTTCGATGCGTAGGCCCCGGAGGCCCAGACCACTTCCTTCGGGCCGGTTTTTCGTCCCGAACCATTGTTTGACGCTTTCGAGGCCCGGCGAGGGCCCCTGGAGGCCGAAAACTGCCCGAATCCCGCCGCTCCAATGTTTGTTGGCGCGTCGGACCTCTGGGTCTGATTCCCCCCAGGACCTGTCCAGAGCCACGAAGATCTTCGTCTACCTGGTGCCCTCAGGGCTGCGCCAGGTGGCCCCGGCGCTTCGGGCTGCCCTGGACACCGGGCCGCGGGGAGGTGGGCACACCACCGGGGGGGTCCACCCCCGCGGCGCGAAGGTGGTCGCGCTTCGCGCGGCGCGGCTCAGGTTGGAGAGGCGCCCTTCTCCACAGGGAGGCGCGTGGGCGCGAGGGCGCGAAGATGGGCTTTAAGTCGGGCATGTCCCCCTACAGGAGGAATACTGTGTTCAAGAATCGGTAAGAAATAGTATGGTGACGATGTTTCGTGCTCTTTTGATTACTTTTGCATTCTTTGCTGACTACTTTGAATTTGTCTCCCTAAATCCGCCTGTAGGGGGACATGCCCGACATAAAGACAATTGCACGTCGCGTGGCGCGGTGCGCGAAGTGGTCGTCAAGGAACGTGCCAACTTTGAATTGCGGGGGAGGAGGGGGGGAGTGTTGCTTCATGTCTTCCCTCAACCGGAAGTCAGGTCACACGATTCGTGACCCCATAGGGAGCTCCAGCTAAAGCCCCAGTGGCTGCGTTCGCACGCGGTTCCCCGCCCATTTCGACACACGCCTCACACGTTTCGTGACCACATAGGGAGCTCCAGCAAAGGCCCCAGTGGCTGCGCCCGCATGCGGTTCCCCGCCCAGTTCGACGCACCCCTCACACGTTTCTCGGGGTCGGCAAAGAGGGGGGTGATGACTAGAGGGAGTGGATATCATGGCGGGGGCCATGATACCTCCCCAGTTTTCATGGCGCCTCTTCTTATTTCAATGCGTCCCCGGCCCCCCCCCTGGGCCGCGCACATGCCGCCGGCTGTAATTTTCGCCCTCCCCCTCTTGGACGCCCCTCTCTTGGACGCCCCCGAGTTTCGTGACCCCATAGAGAGCTCCACCTAAGGCCCCAGTGGCTGCGATACGGTTCCCCGTCCCTTTCGACACACCCCTCACACTCTTTGACCCAGACCACCACCGAAAATTAGCACGGCCGTATTTTCGCAAGGCCGCAGCCCAGAGGACACGGCGTGGCGCCAGTCCACCCGGAGTGAAACGATCAAGTCCTCAGGGGGACACTACCTATCGGTGCTCTGGGTTCTGAAAAGTTTTTGCGAATTTATCCGCCACGCCGTGCTGCTGCGCAACGCTGGCCGCCTCCACTACCCTCTGCACTTGGTTCTGTACAGTATCCAAATGTACCGTTGGCCGAGGAGGTTAATGATGGGCGGGACGGTGTCGGAGGAGCGGTACCCAGAGAGAGGAGCAGCAGCAGGATCGGCATATGGTACATACGAGGCGAAGGCATTCACTCTTCCCCTGATGTCGGAGACCCGAGCCCAGAACACCTCAGCCAGCATTCATATTGATGATGTTACCTTGGGCTCCTGGTCGGAGGGCACGGAGCATTGTGTATCTTGTCTCGTGGAGTTTGCAGCCCGAGTTCTAGCGGGACTACGTGAACTGCAGGTCTCTTTGGCGATCCCCAAATTAACGATGGTAGCCAGCTCTGGTCCCCTCCTGGAGCTGGGTCAGAAGGCTCTGGGTAAATATTCTGGTTATCCTGCCTGGGGCGTGGCTAATCTTGGGATCGACTACGCGGGGCGTAAACGCAAGCGCCACAGGGCGTCTAACCTCATCCGCAAGAAAAGATGGGTCTCCCTCACGCAACGAGTGAACTGTCTGAAGCGCCTGCCAGGAGTAAAGGCACGTAAGCTCAAATCCAGGTTCTTTCTGGTAGGAGGGCGTTCGGTTATCAGGCACGGAGGGGCTACGCGTGGATTCACGCCGACGGAAGTAAAGAAACTCCGTCTTTTGGCGGCCTCTGTGTCGCTACATCGTCTTCGGCGCGCTCCCAATGTGCTGTGGTGGTGCGGAGTCCAGATAAAGATCCCCAGGAGATGTTTGGAATGTGTCTTGAACGGTACTGCAGAGAATGGTGGGACGTTTCTCCGCTCCGGCGAGAAGACCTGAGGCGCCGCGAGGACAGCTTGTCAATCCAAGAGCTCCGAAAATCCCTGGAAGTCGCCAAGGCAGGACTCAGCTCGTCTAAGCTTCGGTCTTGGCAGGGTCGCTCCTGTGGCCCCGCTAGTCAGATGCTCTTGGGGTTGGCAGAGGTCGGATGGACAGCGACTAATCAACGCAGTTTACAGACAGGCTGGGCAACAACGTAGATGTGTTAAAAGTTTCCCCCTGCCACGTTGCACGGCTGTTTATAACGCAGTACAAACACAAGCATATGCAGGAGTACGTTAGTAGACGCGTCCCAGTGGATAGCGTCATCAAGGACAAGGGCTTTAGTGGCAGTTGTTCGAGCGATGCGTTAAAGCAGCCCGTAAGAAACTCTCGTTCATTGAGGCTCAGCTTGTTCTGAGTATGTTCTGCGGCTGTGTTACCACAGGGACCTCCCTTAAACGATGGGGGTCGTCCTCTCAGGCGTCTGTCCGCATTGTGGAGAGTTAGACACTGCCTTTCACCGAGTATTTAAATGCCTTTTCTCTATAGAATCTAGACGTGCATTTCTGGACGCTGACATCGTAGACGCGGCGCTGGCCGCGGGCGAACATGACCCGTTTTACGCCAGGCTCTGGCCAGTCAAACCCGACATCGCTCAACCTGCCGAAGAGTGGCAACTGCAACACTTTGATGTTAACGGGCCGTGTGACCCTTCACCTTTAAGTAAGGACCTCCCGATCTACACTGGCGGGTCCGACTTGCATCCCGATTACCCCGACATCGGCAGGGCGGGAGTAGCAGTCGTTCAACTTTTTGACACAGGCGAGCTGTGCAGAGCAATCCGCTCGCCCCTGCCCGGTAGCTACAAGCAGGCCCCAGTTCATGCAGAGCACGCAGGGCTCGCGATAGCTGCAGTATGGTCGGCCCACCCTCGCTCTCAACCCATCTACGTAGACTGTGCCACCCTTTTTGGAGGGCTTAAGCCTCACATTGCTTTGAAAGGCTCTTTCCAGTTTTCCGACTACTGGAAGGTCATAGCGATGCAGCTCCCTCACGATTCTTGGCTGGACGTCAGGAAAATTAAAACACACCGAGAGCTTAGCGAGGCGGTAGATGAACAGGATGCCACGCATATTACGGCCAACAGGGTTGCGGACTGGCACGCCAAAGAAGCGGCCAAGCTCCATGACCTCTCACCTGAGGAAGTCGAGCAGTACTCAGCGTTGGTTATCACATCTACCGAACTGCTCACAGGTGCAGGTAAGATTCTTGGGGTTGGCCTCAGGCCAGGGACTTGCACGGTGAACTTGACCGTGAGTGCCCGGAGAGAGCCCCCCGTAAATTCTTCAGCCAGCACAGTCCAGTCTGGGACAATTGCAGATGCCATTTCAGTGCACAACCTGTCTTAGGAGAGTCTCCCCAAACACCAATAAACCTTGTCAGGCGGTGGCATCGCACATGCAGGCGGCCATCGAAGCGGCAGGGGAGCTGAGACACAAGTTGCAGATAGGTTGGGTCATCGGATCGCGGATGCCCATTGTGTTCGGATCGCGGATGCCCATTGTGTTCTGTGCAGCTTGCGGGGGTTTACGTGCAGCGTCCGTGCAGCGTCCGTAGTTGCAAGCTCCACGCCAAGTGTACCGCGACGGTGTCCTCAGAGCTCAGGAAGGTCCGTCGTGCTGAGGTCCCTGGTGCACAACCGCTGCAACGATTTAAGAATGTCATGCCCGTCTGATTGAGGACAAGCGCGAGGATGCTCAAGAGAAGGATTGGGTGGACAGGTCGGGCTTCATGGATACGGAAATTTAAGGGGGTACAGGAATGTAAGGGGGTACGAAAGAGCGTCGACTCCGTCTCTGGACGGCCCGAAATCTTGAGCCCGATTCGCTTGGCCCGGATCAGGGGTACCAGAAGTATCGCTGAACTATGTTGGGGCGTAGCAAGGACGCAGCTGCACATACGTATGAGAACGGGCGATTTCCACAATTTAAGAACGTGATGCCCGTCTAATTTCTTCCTTCGCCTGGAGGGTGGGGGATGAGCGCGGGGATGCGGATGCCCTCGAGAGAAGGATTGGGGAACTGGTAGAGGTAGACGGTGTCACGGGATCTGTTGGTCGCAGCAGGAACGGGCCCCCCACGCCTCTGTTTGGTTCCCCAGCTCCCCTCCTCCTCGACGTCTCCGATTTCGGCGACGTCGGCGGCGCCCTGCAGGCCGCCGAGGAAGGAGCGAGGAGGGAGGATGGAGATCTCCCAGGGTGCAGGAGTGCAGGTTCATCTCGTCTCACCCTGGGCCCACACTCTTTCTTTTCTTTTCGGTAGTTCTGGACCTCTGGCTTTGGACTCTGATTCTGGTTCATCGGAGGAGGAGGAGGAGGAGGAGGAGGAGGAGGAGGCGCTCCCGACCAGACCACCACCGAAAGCCCGCACGGGGCCCCAGGCGGGGCCCAGGTCTCTTGGCGGGCGTCGACCTCCCCCGTCGGCGTGGCAGGCCGGCGGGCGCCGCCTCCTCCCCCTTGGCCCTGAAGCTGCCCCCGGCTTGGACCGGGCAGGCCGGGTGGTGCACTCGTCAGTCCGAGGCGGGAATTTGTACATGACCGCCGCCTGGAGGGTCGGTTTTCGGAGCCTCGGCAGGCGGTGGATATGGACATATTCGGGCCCCCGGGGCGGTTCCCAGGCGGTGGATATGAATAAATCCCCGCCTCGCAGTCATGGCGCCAACATCGCAGAGCGGATTTCGTTCGGAAAGCGATCGGACGGGCCCGGAGTCTCCCGGATGATTTCGTTCCGGATCTCGAGGTGAGATTCGCGCGTTTTTTTTGGCCAGGATTGAAGACTCAAACAAACATCCACGGGAAATTCATATCGTTTTTCACTCGCCGTTTCGGGTTTTACGCTGACATAAATCCATGCAAAATCAGCTGCAGCACGTCTGCAGGGTCAGTACAGTGACACTCGGGGGCAACGATAGGGGGGGACGGGTCTCGGGGGGGATGCCTCGACCCTCAGTCGCCCATTGATCGCCGATATGGGCCCGATAGCCTCCCGCCGCCCAGGAGGGTGCGGATGCACTATCGGGGACCTGTCGCCGATCTTCCCGCGATGTATCGCCGAGTCCAAGTCGCTGCATCCGCCCCTGTGCCCCTCGTGCACTTGCGGCGGGGGCGTTTGCTCGGGAATGTGCCCTGGAGGCTTCAGATCCTGGAGGGTTCAGGGCATGAGAGGGTGCCCATGCCTCTGCCCTTCCCTCGTTTTCCCCCTCTTGGCCTCCTGGAAGGCCCTTGTCAGAAGAGCTGGATTCGCTTCGAAGTCCCGGTCAGAACGCACCCCAGGAGAGGTTTGGGGAGTAGTGGTATCGGTACCTTTCGGTTTCCCCTATTACGTGGAATGATGGCATACGGCGGGGGCGTTGGTTATGGAATGTGCCCTGGAGGCTTCCGATCCTGGAGGACTCCTCATCTGACGAGGGCGGCGGTGCTATATCCATGGCCAACCCACGGCTGGAGTTCCGCCAGATTCCAAACCCTGGGTCCCTTGCCCAAGGGTTTCTTATCCGACGCCCCCCGCTCCGTATCTCTCTCCTGCCCAGGACAGGGGCGTGCCAGTTGCAAGCTACACCTTCTCGCTGCCAGACCTGGAGGCGGCTCAGGTGCTCGGACCTTGCGCAATGCGGGGGCGGTAGTCGTCAAGGGCATAACGACCTCTGCTGTCCCTCGACTCGCGCTGGGGCGTCCACGATTAGCTTCAGAATTTCCTAGAGATCTCTGGGACTATTTCGCTTTATCTCCGGGCTTACCTCCGGGCTTACCTCGACTTATCTGGATCTACCTCGAGTTATCCTTATTGGCCCCCCCCCGCAAGTCGACTAGAGAAAAGCCGTCGAGCCCTCGGGCCCCAGGGAGACAGAGGGGAGCGGGACGCAAGGCGCACCTCTTGTGCACCTAGGGGGCCCCCACGGGCCACGCCAGGCGCCCGCTTCTTCGCTCCCCCCCCCACCCCGCGCACCGCCCACCTTCTTGCGCAGCGCCCAAGGTGCTGACGGCTGCGACCCGAGCCCCCGAGTGCAAGGTGTGGGTGTACCGGCCGGCGCCAGCGGAAGAAAACGTCGCCGCCCCTCCCCGGCGGGCGGCCGCCCGGGGCCTCTGTTCTCGTCCTTTCTCCGTCCTCCTCCTCCTCATCCTCCTCCTCCTCCTCCCTCCTTCTCTTCCTTCTTCTCCCTCCTCCTTCTCCTCCTCCCTCCCCTCCTCCTCTCCTCCTCCCTCCTCCTCCTCCTCTCCTCCTCCCCTCCTCTTCCTCCTCCTCCTCCTCCTCCTCCTCCTCCCTCCTAGTCCTCCTCCTCCTCCTCCTCCTCCTCCGCTCCTTTACCCTATGAATAATTTCTCCCTGTCGCAGGCCAGTTTTTAGGGCGGGCAGGGCGTTTCGCGTGAGACTTCCATGCCGTTTATGATTTTGAAGCTTAAAATATGATACCAGTTTCACAGGCGGAGGGCGGATGGTCTTCAAAAAGTGGCTCTCGCCTTAGCGCCGCGCATATTCGTTTAGAATATTTGCAAGAGCTTCAAGGATTGAGCGCGGGTCGTTTTCAAAGTGTGGCTCTCGCCGTAGCGCCGCGCACAGTCGTTTTAAATATTTGCAAGAGATTCACGGATTGAGAGCGGGTCGTTTTCAAAATGTGGCTCTCGCCGTAGCGCCGCGCGCACTCGTTGTAAAAATGTGCAAGAGTTTCACGGATTGAGGGCGAGTCATTTTCGAAATGTGGCTCTCGCCTTAGCGCCGCGCATGTTCGTTTTAAGAGTTTGCGAGATTTTCACGGAGTGAGGGCGGGTGGTTTTCAACAATGTGGCTCTCGCCTCAGCGCCGTGCACATTTGTTCTAATGATTTGAAGGGTTTCACGGATTCCCATCATCAACGTGTCAGAAATGGTGTTTTGAAAGGATTCTGGATTATGCGGGTGCAACAGTTCTGCTGATTATACGGATTACGCGGGTGCAACAGTTTTGAAAGGATTCGCTGTTCTGAAGGCCCAGGAATGGTGTTCTGGCACGGTTCAAGATTGTGAAGGCGCAACAGTCAGGTTGATGCGTGGCGTTGGAATCCCGAATCGATGTTTTGGCATGCTTCAGGGTCAGCAAACGGTTGTCTTCCAAAGAGGAAGTTCCTTCAGTAGAAATGAACCGTTGTAGGGGCCTATGAAGAGGGAGCTTGGAGGGAGGGTTTATTCCAACATCGCTGATGACTCTTAGGTTTACACTGGTCCTCCGCCTTCTCCTCCTCCTCCTCCTCCTCCTCCTCCTCCTCCTCCTCCTCCTCCATTCCTCTCCCTTATAGATGATTTCTCCCTGTCGCACCCCGAGGCCAGTTTTTAGGGCGGGCCGGGCGTGTCGCCTGAGACCTCTCACCAACTATGACTCTGAAGCTAAACAATGACAACAGTTTCGCAGGTGGAGGGCGAATGGTTTTCAAACAGTGGCTCTCGCCTTAGCGCCGCGCACATTCGTTTTTCCCAACCATCCTGTGATGTTGGGTCCTCGTTTTGGAGTCACAGCGCCCCGCGTTCCTCTCCTCTCCTCTCCTCTCCTCTCCTCTCCTCTCCTCTCCTCCTCTCCTCTCTCCTCTCCTCTCCTCCTCCTCTCTCCTCTCCTCTCCTCTCCTCTCCTCTCCTCTCCTCTCCTCTCCTCTCCTCTCCTCTCCTCTCCTCTCCTCTCCTCCTCCTCCCCCTCCTCCTATCCCTCCTCCCTCCTCCCATCCGCCTCGTCACCTCCCTGCGTTTCGCCCACCCAGGACAGCGCTTCGTGGCCCCATAGGGAGCTCCACCGAAGGCTCCAGTGGCAGGGTCGTCCGCATGCACACCCCTCACGAGGATCGTGGCCCGATAGGGGGCTCCACCGAAGGCCCCAGTGGCAGGGTCCGCATGCGGGGACCGCTGCCCATTTTTGTACACCCTCACACGGTTCGTGGCCCCACAGGGAGCTCCACAGAAGGCCCCAGTGGCAGCGTTTGCATGCGGGGACCGCCACCCATTTTGGCACACCCCTCACACGGCTCGTGGCCCCACAGGGAGCTCCACCGAAGGCCCCAGTGGCAGGGTCCGCATGCGTCAACGCCACCAATTTCGGCGCACCCCTCACACGGCTCGTGGCCCCACAGGGAGCTCCACAGAAGGCCCCAGTGGCAGCGTTTGCATGCGGGGACCGCCACCAATTTCGGTGCACCCCTCACACGGTCCGTGGCCCCACAAGGAGCCCCACCAAAGGCCCCAGTGGCACAGGCCGCATGCGCTCGACGCCCATTTTGGCACACCCCTCACACGGTTCGTGGCCCCAAATGGAGCTCCACCGAAAGCGGCACCCACAACACGGTATGTACAATTGCACATGGTTGGGTCTTTCGCTCGAATTTTTAAAACAAATTTTTATCTACAAATAAGCAAGGGTTTCACGGATTGAGGGCGGGCGGATTTCAACATGTGGCTCTCGCCTGAGCGCCGCTCACAATCGTGCCAAATATTTGCACGAATTTCACGAATTGAGGGCGGGCCGTTTTCAACATGTGGTTCTAGCCTTAGCGCCGCGCGCAGTCGGTTTAAACATGTACAACCGTTTCATGGATTGAGGGCGGGTGGTTTTCCAAATGTGGTTCTCGCCTTAGCGCCGCGCACATTCGTTCTAACAGATTGCAAGAGCTTCACGGATTGAGGGCGGGTGGTTTTCAAAAGGTGGCTCTCGCCTCAGCGCCGCGCACACTCGCCAACAACAGTTGCAAGAGTTCCACGGATTCCCATGATCAACGTGCCAAGCATGGTGTTTTGGAAGTGTGTTATGCGGTTGCAACAGTTAGATGGGTTCGCTGTGCTGGTTTTCCAAAAGCGACGTTATGGCACGATTCCGGATTGCTAGGACGCAGCTGACAGGTTGGTCCGTGGCGTGGAAATCACGAGAACAATGTTTTGGAATGTTTCAAGGTCGTCGAACGGTTGGCTTCCAACGAGACAGTTCCCTCAATGGAAATGAGCCGTTGTAGGGGCCTATGAAGAGGGAGCTTGGAAGGAGGGTTAATTCCAACATCGTTGATGACACTTGCGTTTACACTGGTCCCCCTCCTCCTCCTCCTCTTCCTCCTCCCCCGCCCTCCTCCTCCTCCTCCTCCGCCCTCCTCCTCCTCCTCCTCCTCCTCCCTCCGCCCCCCTCCTCCTCCTCCTCCTCCTCCTCCTCCTCATCCTCCTCCTCCGTCCTCCTCCTCTTCAGACCTCCTGCTCCCGTTTCTCTGGCGCACATGGCTGGGAGTTATGAGTCACTCTGGGCGCGTGGAATGGCGACCTGGCCCGTCCAGGACTGAATTCCTGCTGCGGTCTAGACATAACCGCGAGGTTAGCGATCACTCGAGCACTACCAGTCCAGACCTCAACCCGCTCTTGATCGACCAGCCCAGTCTCGAGGAGCTTGGCATCGATCCTCTTGAGGATTCCTTCCGCGCGCTTTCCCCCTCTTTGCACACCAGCCTGAACTCCTCCAGGTGGTCACACGAACGCCCCACAGTTGCCACTGGTGGAGGACCTGAATGCACTTGCCCACTGCAGTTTATCATGATGCGATGGATAACTGGGCATGGCGGCTGAAGCTTTCAGAGACTTTCCCATGTTCGGATATGATTTGATGTCCAGCTTGGATTGTGATTATACCTTCGAGCGGCAGCTTCTCCTCGCTGACGTGGTGCTCAACTGGTCGCACTTCTGCCAGCGTGTCCCACGTGGTCCGTCGACTGTGTGTCCGACGGCCAGCTCAGTGGACCCACCAACACCTGGCGTTTGTAGTTTTTTGTTTCAATGGGTTGGCGAGACAGCCGCCTCTGGCTCAGGCTCTGTTGGCTGCCCTCATTTGGCGAATGCTGCTGCGCATCATCTTCTCGAGGTGCCCCAGATCCTGCTCGCCCCCTTCCTGTTGGCCAGGAGTTTGCTCACGACCCCGCTGCTCCTCATCCTGGCATTGTCAACCACCCTGGTGATGTTCACCGCCCGCCCGCTGCACATGCGATTGACGTTGGTGATGAGAAGTTCCCTGGCCTGCATGACCACATTGATCCGCGCGAATACTCCTTGGTCCCCGTTGGGTACGAGCACCAACCAGTTTATTTCGACGGCCACGACGCGGCGACTTCATGGGTCTTCCCCATCTCTCGCACTGCGAGGCGGAGAGAGGTGAAACAAGTGGCTATGACGACGGCAACGAAGTGCTAAATGCCACCGTGGCTGGTATGGAGCGCTCTGCCCGTGAGGCGAGGCTTCCCGAACTACAACCCGACGGATGTCGCCCAAGGCGGAGATCTCGCCAATTATGAGAGCGAGTGCGCGATGCACAGCGAAGAGTCATGCCGAACAGCGACCTGGATCTGTTCGCTTCCATGGACACGCCCATGCCTGCCCATGCTGCTGGTGACGTTACGGGCGCAGGTGCTTCCGATGGCGCCCCCGCTTTTCGCGTTGCTCCTGGTCGCCCGCCCACGTCAGCGCATGAGCTGGTTGACCATATAGAGCACGTGGCCATCGACATCTACATGGCCCTCCGATTTCCACAAGCCGAGGCCACCGACCAGATAGACGAGTACATGGGTGACTTCGGCGCTGCAGGCGACAGACCCTCTGTTTGTGCATCTTGAAGTGGAGCTGCGCAGCTCCCCAACTTCACCCCGCGCAATGACAGTCAAGAAGATGTTGCTGCTACTCTTCCTGAATTCATTCCGTTCGATGATGCCCCTGCTGCCGATCTCGGTGCCCCCCTCCCCACCGACAACCGCGACGTCAATTTCAACCGCGCCTCGGCCTCCGACGCGGAGCTGGCGGCGCCATCGGGTCGGCCGCGGCGTCGACGCTCGCCCCTCCCTCGTCCTTCCTTTTCCTCCTCCTCCTCCTCCTTTTCCTCCTCCCCCCCCTCCCCCCCCCTCCCTCCTCTTCCCCGCCGAACCGTGGCCATGTTGGCTCAAGTTCGAAACCTTGCCGCGGGTTTTCGAACTTCCCCGCAACTGCGCGGCAGCCTCGAGCAGTTGAGGCGCGTCGTTTCGATCGAACCAAAGACATTCGGCCAGGGGTTCACGACCCATCAGTATGGCAGCCCAGCAATAAGTGCAATGCCGGCAGTGCAGCTACAAGTGGAACTGGCGCCCACGAGAGAGGTGCCACCAGCGCG